GCCCGGCGCCCCGTGGCAGGGGCCGCGGCGACATGGCCGTGCGTGTCGGCCTCCTGCTGCGGGCGCTGCAGCTGCTGCTGTGGGGCGGCCTGGACGTCCAGCACGCCCAGCGCGTAGGCCAGGAGCTGCGCAGGGAGGCTGAGGTACGCGGTGTGTACGGGGCGGGAGGGTCCGCTTGCTGGAGACCCTCCCGAACTTTGCAGTCAGGCCACCCAGCCGTCCCATCTGAGCTGACATCGGTGTGACCCTCCTTTGTCCTCCGCACCCTTCACACTTGCACACAAAGAGCCTAGGGCAGCATTTTTTCCCCTCCTACCCCACCCCCAGATCCCAAACCAGGGCTGCAACCACACAGGCACGTGGGTCGGCATTAATTTCCCAGGACAGGGGAAGGGGGCAGCAACAAGATGGGACAGATAGGCAAGAACTGAGGGAGAGGGAACCCCCGCACCCCAGTTTGGCGCAGACCCACTGCCCCACCCCGCCTAGGCCGGGGAGACTTGGCGGTTCATTCATCAGACGCCCGGACCCCTCCCCGAGTGTCAGATGATGCGGAGACTCCCACATTGGTGGCGAGAGGGTACTGCCGTCTGGCCCCGGCCAGCGAGACGCAGGAAGTACCTCTGGCTTCCTGGGCTGGTCCTGCCATTGACCAGCAGGGGCTAGTGAGTGCCCTAGTTCAGAACTAGTTCTGTAAAATGGGTAAGAGTAGCATACTCTTAACAGTTGCTTCTAAGGAGCTTTAAACAGAGCTTCAGGACTGAACTTGAGAAAAGGGGGTGGGCAGGTGGATGTGAACCTTAAAGATTTCCCATTTCATTTTCCGTCTTTGGACTCAGCTGCTTGCTGTAGGTTGCACAAGGGGAACTTTTTGTGAGGTGGGGGTGGGGATGAACTTGGGGCATCTATTTTCTAGATAAAGGTGATTTTAATAATACACCAGTATTATTTCTTTCTTTCCCGAAGAAGTATCTCTGTGTTCTTATCTCTTCTCAAGATTAGAACTGCGGTCTCCACTGTTTTAAGAAGGGCTGCAAATAAGCTTTAAATGACTGAGTCCAGCACTCTGCCCTGAGACTCTTACTCCCCTAAAAGTATCGTTCCTGCTCTAAAACTGCCATGTGCAAGCTTCTGGTATCCTCCCACTCCCCTTCCCTAGAAGAGGCAGGCTGAATTTAAGAATCCTGCAGAAAGAGGAGGGCCACCTCTGAATCTCTTCCTTCCACCAGCCAGCTCCTAGCACCACTCTGGAATATTAGGAAAGGACCCTGCTTCGACAGGGGTGTCCTCTCTCCAACTCCTTCATTCCTTCCTCTCCTAAGCACTGTTCTCTTGCTCTGTGCTCTCTGCTTTTGCACGTTCAAGAATCACTTTGTTTCTCTGAATTTAGAGTCTTACAACATGAAGTACCGAGTCCTCACTGCCCCAGGCTTGTGTACCAAGCCAAGTCTTATTAAGAGTCTCACCCCACCTCCCTTCAAGCCTGGGTCCCAGGCAATCCTTGGCAGGAGAACAGAGACCACATCTCTGCCGCCCATGCCTGTGGTGGCCCCAAATGGAGAGAATTTCATCTTGGGGTGTTTGGCAAATGCAATATCTAACAGATTGAATCTCTTCAGTCTATTTAACATAACTGAGGGAAAGGGATCTTTTACCTTTGAGAACAAGAACTACTTCAAAAGTATAAAGAACTTTAGAAATGTGTAATAGATGTGTTTGTGTCTCTATATGCATATGCATATGCAAATTGTGTGTGTATGTTGGTATGTTTCTATGTGTTTCTGTATATGGTCAATTGCACGGGCTGTGTAAAAACGATATGTAAATTACTTAACCTCTTTGAGCCTCCATTTTCTTCTCTGTATAATGAGGATTAGCAATGCCTATTTTGCAAGAGTGTTGTATGGTTTCATTGAGATAATGTGTGTGAAATGCTCAGCACGGTGCCTCGTATGCACAAAGCAGTCTATAAAAGGAAGTTGCTCTCAGTGTTGTTGTTATTGTTTTAGAAGATAGAGCTTCAGATTGAAGTCCTGGCTTGGTGACTAGCTCCTCTAAAACAATAACACAGGACAAAATATGTAAGGCAGCTATTTTCAGCCTTTGACAACAGTCAGTTCGGGGCTGTGATTCCTAAGAGATGGCATTGCAGTTACTATGGCTTCATTACAACGTACTTCAAAATGCAGTGAAGGACCATTTTTTTCTGTTCATAGATACTATGGGTCAGAATTTCAAACAGGGCATATCAAGGCAGCTTGCGTCTGCTCTGCAATGTCTGGGGATGGAATCATCTGAAGGCTTACCTGTCCGGCAGTTGATGCTGGCTGTCAGCTGGGGGTCTCAGTTCTTCATGGGCCTATCCACACGGTCTCTGCATGTGGGCTGGTTTGGGCTGCATCCAAACATGGTGGTTGGGTCTCTAGGCTGGGTGTTAAAAGAGAGAGAAGAGAGAGCAAAGGGAGAGAGAAGCGGAAGTTGTATCCTCTTTATGACCTAGACTAGGAAGTTGCATAGCATCACTTCCGTTCTCTTCCACTGGCCGGAATCACAAGCTGCAGGTCAAGGGGAGGGAACATCAACCCCACAATTGGTGGCAGGAGGGCTGAAGTCACATCATCAGAAGAGCATGGCATTGGGAGATGCTGTGGTCATTTAGGGAAATAGAACCATCCATAGAAGGGAACCTGCACAAAGCAAGCCCACCCCACCCCCAGTCACCCCAGCTCTCTGCTTGGGTACAATGCCCTGACCACAGTGCAGGGAGCCAGACCCTAGGCAAAGCACAGCAGTCCTGCTGAGGTCATAGGCAAAGGTCAGAGTTCAGGAGACAGAAGGAAAGAAATAGTAAAAACAAGGTGTGTGATCTTAAGCTTTACCCTTCCCTTCTCCAGGCTGCAGTTTCCTCCTCTGTAAAGTAAGGGAGTGAAATTTCATAAGTGACTTTGAAGATTCTCTCTAGCACTAACATTCTTTGGCTCTGGTGTGTTTGTATGCCTGTGCCTCGGTGTGTATGTTGTACACATTTCATCTACCTATGTCCGTGTCTATCTGGGTGTCTCTCTGTGTCTCCCTCTTCCTTGTGTGCGTGTGTGGGATTATGTGTCCCCTGTATGCACACAAAGTAACAAAAGTAAGGGCTTTCCAGAATGGGCTTTGCCTGGGAGGGGACTGACTGCTTACAAAGCTGCATTATGAACAAGTTCATTGTTGCCCACTTAGGAGAGCTATGGCTGCTCACATTAGTGAGTAAGAAAAACCTCCACTGCTGAGTTGCAGGATTGAGAGTTAATGAATGACATCAACACTCTGGCCTCCCTCCCATTCCCAGCCAGGCCCTGTCCTGTTTTTGGGTAACACAGACTGTCCCAAGGGACCTATCTACCCATGCATTACTTGGACTTTCTTTAGAACAACCAGGCAGCGTGTCCAGGACCTGCCTTCTACTCCATGGTCTACGCACATCTGCATGGCTACTTCCAGTGTGCGGGTGCAACAAGGAGCTGGGTAGTTTGTCTCTCCAGGGAGACACCGGAGCTTCTGTGGAGTATCCACCCCCACATGCAGTGTCTGTTTTTCATACCCTAGAGCCATTCATTTGACTTTCTGTGAGTCAGAAACCCAGAAGCCCGGGTGTGGAAGCCATTCCCAAGAGCTCAGCTCAGTGACTCATGGGTACAGGGTGAATAGAAACGCAGAAGAGGCTGTGAAGGGTCCCAGAAGACCATGAATTGATGGAGCAGCAGCTGGCAAGCTCATCAGAAAAACCAAGAAATCTAATAAAAGCTGGGTTGTGGAAGCAGGAACAAAGAAGGGAGAGACTGTTTGATAACTCTCCCTAAACCCAGTCTGGGTTAGGGCTTTATTTTATGCCTTAAACATAGCCTTACACCTAGCGAAGACCATGGATCCATACAGTATGGTTATTTGGCATTGGAAAAAGATACAAGATGGGGTCTGGGTGGGGACTGGCTAGCTCATGTTTTCTAACTTCCTTTGCTGATGGAAAATGAAAGAAAGGATGAGGATTACAATAAGAGGTATCTAGGTTACACCTTGACAGAACTTTGTGAATATGGGACCAGGGACGAAGAAAGGGAGGAGAAAAGAAAGGGAGTCAGACAGAAGGGAACGGGAGGCCCTTGCCCAAAATAAAGGAAAGGGGCCCAGCTGGTCCCACTGCCCTGAGGCCTTGAGCAGGTTCCAGGAGCCAGAGAGCAAAAGCGACACATCCTGGAAGCAGATGTTCGTCTTTGTGAAGGAACATACCTGAGTCCTGTTGAATACCTGTGGCTTGCCAGATGGCCTCTTTGGGGTGCGATGGGAAACGTGATCCCAGCCTCTGTTGAAAGCTGGAGTTCCCTGCCTGAGCAGTGTCTTCCCTCTGCTCTGCTCCTGGGCCTGCTTGCAGAGGAGACAAAAGGAATCTAGAAGCACCCCCCAATTTTACCTTTTTTCTTTATATCTGAGGGCCATCTCCCAGCGGAAAGAGCAGCTTGGACTCTGCTCCTTCAGTTTTAAAGCCTCTGAGTCACTTTCTACATGTGAAATAAAACATCCTGGGACAGATGTCAGAGGATTTGGATTCAAGTATGAGATGCCGCACTGCCTTGAGACTTACATTATAGCAACACCTGTCCTGCTTGTGTTCTTGCAAGGTGATTGCAAAGCTCAAAGACAGTGAGATACCCTGAAAAGCTCTACAGTAGCCATGAGTTCACTGTGCCCTTGATTACCAGAAAACGTTTTTATTTATAGAGCACGCCGGGCACAACACCAGCCGTCATCCCTGCACCTTGACTTGGCTAATGATGCTACAGAGGTAATGAATGATAAACACAATCACACAGAGTCACTACAGAAAGACTAAAATCATAATGCAACATGAGACGGAATAAATCATAAGGAAAGCAACTTGCATTCTGCATGAGCTTGACATTTGGTAATTTTTTAGCTCTTGGTTTCATTTTTTTCTGTTGCAATTCTTTGATTTGGAGGATGTCACAAGCACTCTGTCGACGTGAGACTGGGAGCTGGCACCTCCTAAACTCAGCTGCCAAAGGTCCCTTCCAACAATAAAGTGCTGTTGACTATAAAGGGAAAAGTAATGTTTTTTAATGGAACAACTATCATAAAGCTTTTCCAAAGCATCTTCTTACTGGATTTTCACAGCGCTCCTGTGAGAAATGTAAAGCAGTATTCCTACCCCCATTTTATACTCTGGGGCACAGAAAGATCAAGTAAGTTTGTCATAGTTCACACAGCTAATCAATTGCAGAAGCAAGGCTACAATAATAGAATGAGCTGGAGTTTATCTTAGCTCTAATCCAACCCCCTCATTTTATAGAAGAGGAAACTCAGGCCCAGAGAGGCACAGGACTCGCTTAAGGACACACAGTTCGCCGCAGCACTAGGAATGAAACTCAAGACTCTCGGCCCAGTGCTCCTACCCTGCCGGGCCAGTGACTCAGAGTTCTGGGATTCATTTTGCTATACCTCATTGCTAGTCTTGCCCTGCTCAGAAATGGCCAGAAATTCCCATTCCTTCAGGCACTGAATGGGCTGGGCTCCACACACCCTCCCAGGACAAGTCAGGACGAATGAAGGACCAGAAGCCTTGGGATTCTGATTCCTTTCAGCTTTCTGGGTCCGGGGAGAACATGTTCATTTTACCCAGACACCACAGCCACTCCCAGGGCTTCGCAGGAGTGACTCCCTAGAAAGGCGGCCCCGGCCCTGACCAAGTAGGTGAGGCAGGTTGGCACAAGCTTTCAGACCTGAGCAGGGTGAGTCACTGGAGGGGCACAGCCCTCCAGCTTCCTCTCCATGCAGCTCCAGCCCTGGGCTCTGTGGGAGAGAGGACAGGTGGAGAACAGGGAAGAGAGAAAACCCGGTGTTTGAACTGCGAGCCTGAGCACGGCCTCCGTGAAAGTGATCCGGGTGGAGCTCAGAGGGTCCCCAGGAGGGCACAGGACAAGCCTCCCAATCCTGCGTCTTCTCCTGGGCTCCCTTTGCCATGCTGTCACATGCCCCACACCCCTGCTCTTTCTCCCAGACAGACGGGTGTTTCTTCCACCTTTTCAGGGGAAAACTGAGGCACAGCAAATGGGCCGCAGAAGGTTAGAGATGGCAGGAGCAGAAGGCATCTCAGCCCTGCCTCCTCCTCACCGGGGGATACCAGTCTGCCTCTGCTCAACAGAACTTCAGGGCACGCAGCACTGACGGCACCAAGGGACCCCTTCTTTGTAATTAAAAATGTTTTAAAATATGTGCATATTAAACAGAAGATAAGTATCAGGGAGTTCTGAAATCCTGATAATCCCCATTATAACACTTCAGTGCTTTTATGGAAATATAAAGTGTCAAATTCTTAAAATTTCTTTTTCTCATTCTTTTGGTGTCTCTTGGCTGGTGTCCTGGACACTTGCTCATTCTGCCTCCTGGGAATTCAGCTCTGCCTTGAAATCCACAGGGTCTCAGAACAAGTCAGCCAAGGACTTCCCCTCTTGTGGACCCCTGAAAAAAGCCTCTACCCCCATCCTGCCCTCCACCCACCTTGCCTGCCAAAGTCCCAGGCAAGGCAGCCCAGCCAGGAAACAGGAGACGCCGCAAGTCAATTTCCTCTCTCCCCTCCCGGCCTCTTTAAGGCTTCAGTTCCAGAACCAGAGCCAACTCCCTGATAAGGGCTGCATGGGTTTGGGGGGAGGGGCACAGGGAGTGCCAGTATATTGGCCAGTGACCCAGTCTCTCCCAAGTCATTCACTCAGCAAACCTGCTTCTAAGGAAATATTAATTCCCTGACTTCCTTTAGAAAGTCACTCTGTCCATCCTTGCCTTCTCAAGGGAGAGGGAAGAGTCATGGAAGAGAACCAGGCACCAGGCTGGGGCGAGACAAGCCTGAGCACCTGAATTGATTACAGAGGTGTAACTGACTCGTTCAAAGCACTTCCCATCTTGTAGATGGGTTGCATTCCTAAAGTCTTGTTAATTTTCCCACTAAGGTAAATCAATTAGATCAACTGTTTATTGAGCATGTACTGTCTACCAGACAACTATGCTAGATGTGCATTTGTTTAATCCTTCTGAGAATCTTTTGGGGTTGTTCCTGTTCTCACATTGTAGGTGAAGAAATGGAGGCTCAGAGAGGTTGAGTACTTTGTCCCTGGCCACCCAGCAGAGTCATGGATGGGAACAGATTCTTAATTCCAGGCCCATTGGCTATCCCAGGATGTCACATTATTTTGAACAATTAAAGCTTCCAGATTAAGCCCTTCGAATGTCTTTAATCCATAATACATCCCCAAACAGTGTACCTTTGCAAAGGGAAAGAAAACAATAGTGCTGAAATACTAATAAATTAGTGCAGAGAAACAATAAAATGGGCTTGGAAAGTGTTTGTCTAGAATAAGGGTTCCTTATGGAAAGTGGCTTTATTGGGAAGAGGATGTGGGGGTCGCTGGAGACGGATATAATGAAATCCACAAAAAGGAGGTGGGATGCTTGCAAACCCCGAGGGGCTTGCGGGTCCTGGCTCTTAGTGTCTAGTTTCATTCCTGGTTTGTGCCTTTTCCTTGAGGCTGCAGCTATGACTGGAGCTGCTTTAAGAAATACAGCACAGAAAAGTAAGAGAACAAAAGAAGACAGAAAATTATTTCTGGAAACACAGCAAGGAGGGGTAAAAATGAAGAGAGTGCGTGTCGGTATAAGAATTAAGCAGCGATGTGACATTTCTTTTACCCATTGATGGGGCTTTATCAGGGAGAAGGGCAAGCAGGGAGCCGAGTGCATCATTTCCCTGAAGGGTAGGACTGGTGATAGGGGTGGACAATGAGTCACACACTTCTCTCCACTGGCCTCCAAGAACTATATCCAGCTAGTCAGTGGGTGGCCTGGAACTGAGTCTAGTTTCTCACTTTGATCCTAAAGACTCTTCAGTAGCTCACAGATCCTTTTGAGACAAGGGGTGAGACTGGGAATGACACACGTGCTGTGGACCCTTGGAGACTCAGGGAGAGGAAAGGATGCCACACGGTGGGAAAAGTTGATGTTCCTCTGTCTCCCCCAGGCATTCTTGGAGAAGTACGGATATCTCGATGATCAGGTCCCCAAAGGTCCCACCTCCACGCGATTCCGCAATGCCATCAGGTAGGACGGAGGGGTGTGGAGGACTTGGGGGTGCTGGAGTGCAAAGCTTGGGTCACCTCCTCCCTTCTCCTCGAAGGCTGGTCTCCCATGTGTGTCCAGAGGGTCATACTCCATTGCTCCCTCCCATGCCCTCAGCATCATGCTGTCTCCAAGGCAGCTCCCCACCCTCACCCCCACCAGTCAGCCTCCCACTGTGGTCCTTTATCTCAATTCCTCCTAACAGGGAGTTCCAGTGGGTGTCCCAGCTGCCCATCAGTGGCGTGCTAGACTCGGCTACCCTGCGCCAGATGACACAGCCCCGCTGCGGAGTAGCAGATACTGACAGCCAGGTGGCCTGGACCCAGAGAGTCAGTGCCCTTTTTGCTGGACGCCGGGCCAAAATGAGGCGTAAGAAACGCTTTGCAGGGCAAGGTGAGCACTGGTACAATCTAGCTAGGTTGGATTTCCCAGTATCCTGAAGCCCCATGGCCAGAAAAACACGTCACGGCCTCAGACTGGGCTCTGTCAGTAACCTGTCTTCCCTAGGGTGGGCGAATAGGACCTCTCAACTCAAGGACCATGTTTGTGAACACAGACATTTAAATCAGAATTATGTCTACACCAATGAATTCTCATTATGCAACTGATTTCCAGAACAGACCTCCTCTAGCCCACTTCATTCCTTGGTCAGTGTGCTACATGGGGCAGTCAACATTTTCCCTTATATTTAACTGAAGTCGTTTTCATCAGAATTGATTCTTTTTTCAGAAGAATTATTCAACAAAGATGTGACTCATCAATCAGTTTTATGTTTCCATAGCACACTTTCAAATAGCTTTATTGAAATATAATTCACATAGCATTAAATTTACCCACTGAAAGTGTACAATTCAGTGGTTTTTTAGTATATTCGCAGCGTTGTGCAACCATCACCACAATCTAATTCCAAGCCATTTTCATCACCCCAAAAAGAAACCCCAGGCCCAAAAAGAAACAATCGCTCTCATTCTCCCTCCCCCAGCTCCTGGTAACCGCCAATCAATCTCCTTTCTGTCTCTGTGGATTTGCCTATTCTGAACATTTTACGCATGACAGTTTCTGCCATTGTAATTTTCTTTGTGTAGTTTTGGGCTTTTTCTTCCCTTCGCCTCCTGCTCTTTTTCCCTTCTCTGTCCAAATCCTATCTTCCAGAGTCAGGTGTTACAGATCTAAGATTTATGACGGAAATTTGACTCTTCTGTCAATTCTTTGTCAATAACAAATTTTATCGTGTGTAATTTGAACATCTTGTTTGTACTAAGTCTAATTTCCTCTGATTGATTTTCCCAGTTTTCAAAATTTCCTAACAAGAAGGGTTTACTTAGTCAGGTTCTCATCTACAACTAATTTTACTGTGAGCACTTACAGCCTTTGCTTTTTTTAAATTGAATTAATAATTTTGCCAAGGAGACCCATTATGAACAGAACAGAAGGCACACTGGTTTTTGCCCTTAGCTAATTCATAAGGAAACTGTGGGCTGTTCCCCTCAGCTGTCAGAGGGTGGTTGTTTCCAGGTGTTTGCCAATCCAGTTCCACTGTGTCTACATGTCCAGCCACTCTGGGTCCCCAGTACTGACCAACTGCATTCCTAGTAAAGCATGGAGACAGTGATGGGGTCCAGACTCTGGGGTCAAGATGTCCCTGGTGTCAACATGTGCTGCATCCCACTGTGTTTCTGGCCAGCAGAGGGGAAGGATAAGGTAGAATGAAGGAACAGTGTGAGCTGGAACAGCATCCCTGGAGCTGGAGCTCCGAGTTCAGCTGTGTGACCCAGGCCATGTCACTTTGCTCTGTTTCCTCATCTGAAACATAGCTTGTTTAGGTTGCCAAGGAGATGCCCTGATTTCCAAGGGAAGGGCTTGTCGGGAGGATACAGTGGGAAATGGGGCAGCCCCAGATAGTCTCAATAGTGGCGCTCCCAGGCTAGAGTTGGTCTCCCAGAGAATTGGGATGAGGCCTCCCAGGCATTCACAGTGGCAGCATCTCATCTTCTCATGCCCCAGGGGAGGGTCTGATGGAGTCCACTTGTCACTATCCAATTTGGTGCAGCCCTTTTAGACAGAAATTCATGCTAAGGCATCTCCCTCCCCATTTCATTGACCCCTGGTCCAGACAGCAGTGGTCTAGGCTAGACAGAGAGTGTCCCTCTTGTTCACAACCTGAACCACAGCAGCCTGACTTCCTTTCCCCTCTAGGTGGGAAGACAGTCCCTAGAAAGTAGCTGTGGGCTTCGCAGGCACCGAGCACTTCCTATGGCTTCAGAAAGGAAATGTAATCCCACAGTTAACGAGTATTGAGCCTTTATGATGTACCAAGCATGGCTGTAAATGGATTAACTCATTTAATCCCATAACAACCCTATGAGATGGGGACCATTATTATCATCATTTTACAGTGGGAAAACTGAGGGACAAAGAGCTTGGGCAACTTTCCCAGGGCCACACAGCCAGAGTGTGGCCAAGCCTTCTTATCACTGAGAGGATTAGGTGAGTTGCCAGATTCGAAAAACCTCAGCACATGCTTAAGTGCTTGAAAAAATGACGTGGATTTCTAGGCCAGTGACTTTCCATTATGTGGGTGAATGCTGTCCTGATGAAGTGGGCCCCAGGGTTGCCAGATAAGGATACCCAGTTCAGCTTGAATTTCAGATGAACAACACATACTTGTTTGGTTTTCACATCCTCACACTAAAAAACATTGTGTGTTGTTTATCTGAAATTCATATTTAACTAGGCATTCCGTATTTTAATTTGCTAAATCCGGCAACCTCATTCCAAGCACTGGGTCCCCTCTGTGTCTGCTGGGCTGATCTGCAATGTCCCTGCTCCCTCACAGAGCTGGGTGGGCCACGGGGGTGTAACTGGGATGGAAAAGGAAGCAGCAGGGATGTTTACTGAGCACTCACCACATGCCAGGCAGCTTCATGTTGCTATTGCATTTGCTATTTCACTTTTATCAGAAGGTAAGACTTACTAACCCCACTTTGCAAGTCAGGCAGTCAAGGCTTGAAGTGAGACTATAATTCATTACAAGGTTGTAAGTAGAGGAACTGAGATCTCAACCCATAACTCTTCACAGTATCAGTTCCCTGTTGGGAGTCAAGCTTCAGGATTCCCCCAAGCTCTTCCCCATCTCCTTCTCCCTCCCTCTTCCTTTTTGGATTTGAGTGCAAGGGTGTGTGTGTGGGGGGGACAGTGCCAGGTGTTACTGTGACCTGGTGGTCGTCATGGAAACCAGCCTTGCCTGGCCAGGAGTTTGGGATGGGGGCCTGAAGTGGCCAGCCTGCTCCAAGGACAAACCTGGAAGAAGACAGGGGAGAGGGCTCAGGCTGCCAGCCAGGCGGTTCCTTCCTCCTCAACAGGCACCTCCATGACCCCCGACCCGGCTCCCCTCCCAGGGAAAATTAGTCATTTTCTCTCAAATCCTGTTCCTATTTGTCCTCCCTCCCCTCCCCATTTCTTGCTCATGGAGTGAGGGGCCTCCTGAGCTGCAGAGGCAGGAGCTGCCCCACACTTTTCTAGAAGCTCAAAGGTGGAGGAGGAGAGTCTGAGAGTTGGTCACTCCTAGCAGGGTGGGAAGGGGCCCAGTGCCAGCCTGTCCGATGCCTGGTGAAGACTTACAGTTCAACAAGAAGTGTTATTGGCACATAATGAACCCTCAGGCGGTGCCTCTGGACTCCAGGCCTTCCTCTGCCCTCCTCCTCTCCCTCCCTTCCTCAGAAACCTTCCCTGTTCCCTCCCTGAGGGTTGGTCCCTGGCTGGGAGGGGTTGGGTGGTGGCCAGGCCAAACAGGCCCTGGGAGGCAGCATTGCCTTGAATGGAGCTTGGCTCGGGGTGGGAGAAGGGACAGCCCTCCCCCACTGCTACGGGGTGGGGGGATAGGAGTGGGGAGTGAAAGGGCGCTCAGCTTTCTGCTCTCTGGAGAATTCTGGAGGATTTCAGCTCGTGCAGAGTCCCTGCTTTGACCCAGAGGAGCCATGCTAACTAAGCCTTGAGTCTCAGCAAAAGTGCCTGCTTCCCTGTGTGGTTCAGCAGCAAGCACACCGGGTTCGGCGTCGGGGCCCGGGCTCGGGGCCCAGCTCCGCTCCTCACTCACCCAAGACCCTTCCTTCTGGTCTCAATTTCCCCAAAATAGAGCAGAGAGATGGACCAGGAGATGGCCAAACTTCCATGATGTCACTCCTCCTACCTGGTTCAGGCAAAGAGGCCCCCAGGATGAAAAGGCCGGGGTCTGAACCTTCACCTACAACCCCCCACCCCCCCCACCAAGGGGCGGGGGCTGTGTCCTCTGGCCTGGCCTCTGAGCACAGCCAGGCCTGCCCTGCCCACTTTCCACCCACGCTCCAGGGATTTGGGGCCCAGGAGTCCTGCCTCTGACCTGCGAGTCTTCCATTTGGGGTCACAGTCTCAGCCCCTGAGAAAACAGGGCTCAGAAATAGGCTGTGAAAAACTCTGGGATTGGGACCTTTAAGCAAGCACCCTGGTCCTAGCTGCATGGTGAGCTGTAGAGGGTCTCAGTGGACCTGGGGCTCAGGCAAGAGGCAGAGGCTCAAGCCTCAGGGAGGAGCTGTAGTTCTGAGCAAAGAAATAGGGACTCTTCAAGTGGAGATGGAAAAATTTCTCTCTCGGTTAGTGACAAAACACACCCTTTGTTCTTATTTGTTTTCACCTCAGAGCCCTGCAGAGTCCCTGAGGAAGTGAGGGGGAGGGCCAGGGGTCAGGGAAGGACCTTGAATAAATGAGTCTTGTGGTCTCTAGTCAGCAGCAGGCCCCCGAGGCACGAGGCACGGAAAAGAGAGGCGGCAGGAGGGTGTGAGGGGTGGAGGGGAGGAAGGGGGCAGAGGGGGCTCTGCCTTTCCTCCACCCCAACACAGGAGGCAGGGTATGGGATTTTCTGCCAGCAAGAGGCACAGAGAGGTTTTCAAGCTCAACCCAGGCTGTGGGGAAGATGACCCCAGACCAGAGAGTCCTTCTGGCTGGGGACTCTTCCTGGGTAGAGGCTGCATGTCCCCCATTATACTGGGGCCTCCCCAGGCCAAGCCACAGGACTGAGGACTGTGCAGGACAAGGGTAGTTCTGTCAGTCCGAGAGCGGTGTCTCCACAGCCAAATGGGGGGCTTCTCAGGCCAAGGGCTGTGTCCTCTCCATCAGATCAGGGACTTCCTGGGGAAGGGCCTACCTCCCCATCAGAAGCATCTGGGGGACCAGCCCCAGGCTGTGCAACAGGTATGACTGACGCGACCTCTCTGGGTGGCAGGCAACAAGTGGTACAAGCAGCACCTCTCCTACCGCCTGGTAAACTGGCCCCAGCACCTGCCCGAGCCGGCAGTTCGGGGGGCCGTGCGCGCCGCCTTCCAGCTGTGGAGCAACGTCTCGGCGCTGGAGTTCTGGGAGGCTCCAGCCACAGGCCCCGCTGACATCCGCCTCACCTTCTTCCAAGGGGACCACAACGACGGGCTGAGCAACGCCTTCGATGGCCCAGGTGCTAACACAGCCTCTTTCTCACACAGCAGGAGGGAAACCCAACTGGGAGAGGCAGTCTGGGGAGGGCAGTGGAGCATTTGCTTCCCCTTTAGCCTTGGCCAAGCTGCAGTTCCCTCCAAAGATCTCTCAGTCTCCCCATCTGCAGAATGGGAGCAGTGGCCCCTGCCCTATTATGTGCCCCATGGCTGAAGGGACAGTCAGATGGCGTTCTGTGTGGAAGGTGCTTTGCAAACTCTAAAGGGTGTTATCTTTTCTGGGAGAACCTTCTGGGGTCCTGTCATCCATCCCCTGCCTCTTGACAGACCTGTGCCCCTCTTGCTGTCCAAGAGTGGATGTGCTCCAGACCAAGGTTCAGAAAACATCCAGAGGCTACCATGACCCCACTCCTGCCCTCCTGCCACCTACCACACAGTCACTGCCACAGGGCAAGAGGCATTCTCCCCACTCCCTGCCACCTGCTTCACACACCCACAGCCCAGCCAGTTCCCCTGTTTGTCCCCAAACTAAAGGCTTCTGGATGTAATTTAAACTGCCTTCCTCTGGCTCTGGCCGACACCGACTTTGAGAACCTGAATGTGGGCCAACTGTGCATCTCCTCCCCGCTAAAGAGGAGAAGAAACTTGATCAGAACCCTGCAGGGTGGGGACTTAAGCCCTTGTGTAGCCTGAGAACTGGGGTCCCCATCTCCCTTGCACTCTCCAACTTTCCATCAAGCACAACCAGAGCAAAGTCCACTTCCAAACTCTGCTGCTGGGACCCAGGGTAGACGGAGAAATCCAGGCTTTTCGAGAATTCACGTATAGCACACACACGTGCTTGCATGTAACTCACTTCACCCATGTTATCTACATGAGGCGCTGATAACCATACCCAGTGGTATCTGGTAGCTAAGACAGCACTGGACTGGGAGTCAGCTGTCTGATTTGGGACAGGTGTTTCATCTGAAGCTATGTCTTCTTTTGAAACCTGCCTATCTATCTCCCAGGATTATTGTAAGGGTTAAACAGAAAGGGCTAACATGGCTCAAAACAGCTCGAGGCATATTCAGAATTGGAAGCATATATTCCTTCTACATATGGCCAGCTCTCCACGCCCCTACGAGGCTCCCTTAAATGGCAGCCTCCGATTTTTGTCAGTCCCTGCAGGCCTGGGCTCCAAGAAGGCAACACTGGAAGGACCTTCGATATGCTTCTAGGCCAGCATCATCACAGTGCTGTTTGCTGACCCTGCCCCTGCAGAAAGTAAATTCTGAGCAGCTGGGGGTCCTAGAAACTGCAAAACTGATAAGCTCCATCTGGGGCCCACTACAAGCTTGAGAATCACTGATCCAGCCCAACTCCTCTGCTCACTCCTATTACAAGCAGGGAAGCAGAGACCAGCAGAGGGGAGGCAAGAACGAACGAATGCAAGAATATATATATTTCTTAATATGCATAGACACACCCAGCATCCAGATCAAGAAACAACATTACCAGCACTCCAGAAGGTCTCAATATGTCCCCTTCTGGGGTAACCACTATCCCTATTCCTAGATCTTTTCCAAAATAAGTAGCAGTTATTACGAGGTAGGCACTCTGTATTAACTGTAACATACACACGTCCTTTTTAATCCTCAGAACAATCTTGTAAGGAAGAACCTTCTTATCGTCATTCTCATTTTTCAGATCAGAAACTAAGGCACAGAGAGGTTAAGCTATCAGCCCAAGGTCACACAGCTAGTACGGGGTTAAAACCAGGATTGAAAGCCACGCAGTTTGGCCCCCTGCTGTGTGTACACCAAGCTGCCTCTTCGGAGCCCAGACCCCACAGCCTAGTCATCTGTTCATTGCTCCACACTTCAGCTTCTGCCAGACTTAATTAAAGGAAACAGCAGAAAG